TGTTTTTGAGCTTCCCTGGTCAGAAGTAATCTCTGAGAGACAAATTTAGGACATGTGGTGAGTCAAATTCTACCCCACATATTTTCATAAAAACTTCAGTTTTAGTCACAGTTTGCTGCAGATATTCAACTTTATAAATAGACTGAAATGATGGTGAAGTCCATGTGGCATTTGAAATATCACTTAATTGACACTGGCTATTAGATATTAAATTTTGGAAGTTCAGCAAGTTGAGTAGTGCCTATGAAAAGATATTTTTTAATCTGCCATTTTGCTTATGTTCTAAATTATGAAATCATACAGCCTTGTCACATATTTATTTCAGGATTATATTTTTATTCAGGAACAGCCGTGATAGTAGGGCTTATATGATTTGACAACACCTGTAGCTATTACTTTTGGCTGGAATGTCTTCATATTTATATCATGGTTTCTTGAATTGTTTTCCTTTAGCTGATGTGAAGTATGCCGAAATTAAGATGGAGAATGGTAAATCTCAAGGCTGGGGACTCGTTAGATTTGGCTCCGCTGAAGATGCTCAAAGAGCAATCTGTATCCTTACAGATATAACCTGTTTCATTAACCAACTGGTTGAATTTAATGGTTTACTGGATTATCAAAAAACATACTTCATTTTGATTCTGAATGTTAGTTCAAGCATGATTATCATAAATGTAAAACTACATAGTTGTCGTATATATAACAGAGATCTATTCTACTATTGATATGTCCTTGACTATTAACAGCTGCTATGAACCGGACCCGAGTAGACGGACGGGAAATTGATGTGAAGCTCTACCGCTAAATGACGGTACTGCTAGCACTCACAAACTGGTTTCTCTTAGTGTTCCATGGTCACTGGCATTGTCCAGTCGGCAGTTTGGGATTTATGTGTCATCAGTTGTTCATCAGTAGTTTGTGGGTTTTAGCAGTGTTCTGTGGTGACCTCGGCCAGGGCAGGTGATGTTTTAGGATGCCATTTTAACTACATACAGAGATGTTAGTTGGATTATAAAGGGATTGGACCTCTGGTCCCACATATATATTATTCATTGAGCCATGGATGATGGATTGACTTTTTGTACTAATACTGAAGCCTGATTTTAATGTTGTGCATAGAACAGACTCTGAATCATCTTATTGTGATGTAGTATCGGGTGTGCTACTGATGTCGTTGTCTTGTCATTTCTGGTCTCCATGTAATCATGCATTATCAATAATTGTGTCCTGTGTTTTGTCATCATCATTTAATAAAAAAAACTGTTTATAGGTTTGAGTTTTATTTTTTTCTTCATAAATAGTTGGTACTTGACATACCCGATATTGTGCACGTCATTGGAATTTGAGTTTGAAGTTACCTGCAAATTTATGCAAGGGAAAGTGCAGTACTTCAAGCATATGATATTATGTTTCAATATTTATATGTTGTGTATCAATTGGTGGAGATTCACAATTTCGTAGTACGATACATGGTCTGTGTGTCGTCATTTTACCTTGGTAGATAATTTGTGTTCACCGGTACCTGAGATTTTTCATGAGAAAATTACTGATACTGGGATATTACTTTTTTCCAAAAGTTTTCAGATAATGTGATCAAATTTGTGTGTCATAGAAATTTGATTTCAATCTATATTTTATTTAGAAGAGGAAAATTACTTGTAACTGTATGTTTATGAATTGATTAACTATTACTTGTTGTAGAGTAGCTTGGTGAAGCATAACCTAATTTATTTTTCTTTCCTCATTTTTGACTGTAGGTACAAGTTGGATATCTTGTCTTCAAATTCTGTAGAATATGAAAATTTTTATTGTTATGTCTAGGAGTTTGATCTTACTATGTATTTGTTCAAAATACTGTGAATCTATGTATATGCAGGTGTTCATCTCTTGAAACAACTTGAAAATTTATTAATTATTACAGATGAATTGGATTTTTATTTGCTAAATATTAAGTTCCTTTTCAAATGAGTTGAGGTGATGGGAAAACAAAAATGCATAAAATATTTGTCAAGAAATTTTGTGAACCATTCATAAAGTACTTTGTGTAGTAATGGAAAATAAGTAAGTTTGGTTTTCATGCCATAGTACTGGAAATGAGACATGATGTTTGCAGTATTACTATGTTGGTGTGTGGCATTTTGCGACGAAGGGATTTCTCTTGGATTAACTGACAACATACAAGGAAGCAGGGTTGACGATATCTGCTGAGCAGGCCAGTGTTTTTATGGAAAGTCTGTGTGCCAAACATTTGTGTGCAGTTTTCCAGTTTTGTTTGGTCTCAATGCTCCAGGAGTACATGAAGATTTCACAGGTGTAACAGTTTCCCCATTAACAGGTGTTAATACTTGTGGGGGTCTGTTCAGTACAGGTATTTCTTTGGAATTATTGAAGGCATTGAATGTGATGCTTTTGCTTTTACTTTCATTTATCATGTCTTTTGTATTATATTTGTGATAAATTTGGTTTAAGATCTTCACTAATATATGATTGGCTGTTTTTGTTACACATTTTGGAAAGAAAAGTCAAACATGAATTGGAAAGAACTGCTAATTGTACCTTTGTTTAGTTGTGCATCTTAACGTCAAACCTGTTTTTTAAAAAGAACAAATTTGGAGAATTGGAAATTGTATGCATGATGAGAATTGTAGTCCTGTGAATTTAGCTGAACACAAAATTGGAATTTGTTTTGCGAAAAGTTCTTGGTCAACTTTAATTCAAATTGTTTCACCTACATGTGGCTTGGAGTTAAGGAAGGGTTGGGATTGGAATATTTCCCCCCTATTTTGGTGTTGGGAGTTTTGCTCAAAAATTGGCCTGTTCTTTCTTTGTCAGTAAATTGATGTTGTGACCACACTCCTTTTAAAAGTAGTGTCTTGTTTTGTTAACTGTTTGCTATTTTCAGTGTTCAATACTTTGAAGTAACAGGAAGTAACCTTTGACCTTTGAGTGTAACCTTTGAGTAACAACTCTATACAAACGGATCTCCCTGGATGGTCAGACAGATGGAGTGAAGATTTCCATGGAAACAATATTGATATGTTTTGTGCAAATTTTTGATTGTGTGGCTTATGATTGATGATTGTTCTTGAGTTTTTATATGGGACTCATTTATTAGGACTTCTACTTGCCTATGGTTTGTGTGTCAGTTGTGAAAAATTGTCACTCATTTCATGTGATCAAAATTTTGTTTTTTAATAATTCAAACAAAATTATGAAAGTTAAAACATCAGTATTTCTTAAAATTTTCAAAGAAAAGAAGTTCATATGAAATTTAAAAAGAAAATAATGTCAATTCTTTCAATATGTTCAAAGAAAAAAATTTAAATATTAATTCAATTTATGTAAAGTGATTTTAAATCATATTGAAATCATTTTTTTGTGAGAAATGAAGAACTGAATTTTATACTGCAGATTCTTTAATGAATGTAATCTAATATTTTTGCCAGGCATTACTCTGACAGGAGTCCTGTATTTATGATGATGTGCCTGGAGGTCGGAAAAGGACGTCCCCTACAGCAGCACTAACAGAAGATTACCTACAGTGAACTTGTCTTTTATGGTGAGTTGTTTCCTCTAAACTTTAGCTGAGTAACAGGAAGCATGATTGAAATAATTTTGTTTTGGTTTTTCAGAATCTAGTGTCAAATACATAGCATGTAGTGTAGAGAAAGTGAAAAACATGACAAGAATTCCTCCCACAAATTGTGAAGACATGAAAAAATATTCATGTTGATAAAGGTTTTGTTACTTAACATTTGTATATCTAAAGATTGGGATGTGCTAACTGTATACATTTATTTTACTTATTTGAAAGAATTCAGAATGAAATATCATAAATTGATACTCATGTTAAATCGTGAAAAAAAATCCACACATTCAGCTCATGCATTGAATTAAAAGGAAAATACCAGTTCATCAGCTTTGAACATACATTTTTTTTTTCAGCAGATGTGATTTACCCAGTGTTTCATCACAACAAGACTGCAAATACAGTACATACAAGTCATTGAACCACATGGTAAGAATCTCATTTTACATAGACCCATTGTTTATGGTCATATGTCATATAGTGGAGATAAGATGTTAAAAAGAAGTATATTTGAAAGATTTACCCTAGGTATCATCTTCCTTCGTCATGCATTAGTCACTGGATAAAAGGTAAAATAATTGTGTCCGTTGATTTATTGCAATGATATTTTAACACTGTATCTTCAGCACAAAGGTAACATAACCATTTATTACATTTACAGTAGTCTGTGTTCTTGTTAAATTTAGGTGCCTTGGTACCCTTTGTTACTGGTTGTTTACCTATGTTATCTTGTATTTATCTTGCCCGTACAATTTTTGGGTTGTCATTTTTCTCATCCTTGCCTTTTAGGTTTTCTGAATCGGTTGGACCAAGAAGGATTCATGAGGGGCCTTTGAATGGTGGACCAGTTGGAATATTAAAAATATGTCTTGTAATTAGACAAAAATGCTGAAAAAATCAGCTGATAAACATTTAGACCTTGTACTAGGTGCCTTATGGAAAACATGATGAACATTTAGACGTTGCAATAAGTTGTGGTGGATACCATCTTGGATGTTTTTGCATTGTACCAGGTGTCTCATGGGAAAGATGATTAACATTGTACAAATGGTCTTGTGGAAGGAAGAAAGATTAATTTATGTATTGGCAATATAAATTTTGTCAAGAACAATTATAGCATGAAGAGTTGTTAAAACGTTAATAAATCTTTATCTGAAAAGACAATCATTGATTTGTGTTTTTTTTAGCTTATTTGATCCAAAGTGCCAAACAAGCTGATGTTAAGGTACTTCATTTGTCTGGCATTAATACAGTTCAGATACTTATTTTGGTGCAATCAAAAATATTGTTTCTGTATCAGTTTTGAACACGATCTGGATCTTAAAGCCCAGGAATGTCTATAGGTTGGGCATTTCAAATACTTCCAAATTAAGCTCAGTCACTTAACCTCTTTGATGGGGCAAGATGAATGGGTAAATTCTTTTGACCGAGTTTGTATGGTTGTCTGGTTGGTATCTCAAATAAAAAATATGACCCCCACCAATTCTTACATAAAAAATGTGTTTATCTCTTGATACCAAGCAATTCTGGTAAAGGGTTGGGGATTTTTACTGTTTCAATGATATCCCCTAGAAATTAAGTCCAGAGAGGTGGGGCCAGTTCCTACATTATGAATGTGTTTTATCTCTTTATGCCCAGCATTGCTAAATATGTTTATGGGATGGGTATCTCAACAGTTTCAAAGAAAGTTAAAGGAAACTGTCACTTGAGATTGGGCCAATTCTAACATGATTGTGTTTTTCTGTTGATGCCCATCACTGCTGTATATAGTTAAAGGGTGGATATCTCATCTGTTTCAAAGATATAACAAGGAACCAAGTTCCTAGGGATGGGGCCAGATCCCAGAGCCAATTCTTGCATCACTACTGTGTTTATCTCTTTATGCCCAGCAATGCTAGAAATGATCATGGGATGAGGATCTAAACTGTTTCAAACACACTTCCCCTATTGAGCTAGCAGGGTGAGATCCACCATTAATACAAAATTGATTCCCCTTCACCAAGACATGATTTCCAACAGGTTTGGGTAAAATTCAGGGGGTGGGGGCTGAGACCCATTGTTTATGCAAACTTGATTCCTCTTCACCTGAACATGATTCAGACCAAATTTGGAAAAAAATCCAATCATTCCTACAGGAGCAGGATTTTAAAGAACTTGTACCATTTCCCCTATTGGGCCCACCATCTTGCCACAGGGAAGCGAGACCAATTGTCAATTCAATTCAATTCAATTCTTTTATTTCGATACTTCACAGCCTCCGGCCCACAGTACATTTAATAAATCACATTTCTTCACACTCAACACTTAAACAATATTTTATATATACAATTTGTTCAGTATATTTTATCATTCTACAATACATCGGTCTACACATATGTTACGTATATAGTTGGCTACAATACATCGGTCTACACATGTTAAGTATATAGTTGGCTACAATACATCGGTCTACACATATGTTAAGTATATAGTTGGCTACAATACACATGTCAACACATATGTTAAGTATATAGTTGGCTACAATACATCGGTCTACACATATGTTAAGTATATAGTTGGCTACAATACACATGTCAACACATATGTTAAGTATATAGTTGGCTACAATACATCGGTCTACACATATGTTAAGTATATAGTTGGCTACAATACATCGGTCTACACATATGTTACGTATATAGTTGGCTACAATACACATGTCTACACATATGTTAAGTATATAGTTGGCTACAATACATCGGTCTACACATATGTTAAGTATATAGTTGGCTACAATACACATGTCAACACATATGTTAAGTATATAGTTGGCTACAATACATCGGTCTACACATATGTTAAGTATATAGTTGGCTACAATACATCGGTCTACACATATGTTACGTATATAGTTGGCTACAATACACATGTCAACACATATGTTACGTATATAGTTGGCTACAATACATCGGTCTACACATATGTTAAGTATATAGTTGGCTACAATACATCGGTCTACACATATGTTAAGTATATAGTTGGCTACAATACATCGGTCTACACATATGTTAAGTATATAGTTGGCTACAATACATCGGTCTACACATATGTTAAGTATATAGTTGGCTACAATACACATGTCAACACATATGTTAAGTATATAGTTGGCTACAGTACACATGTCAACACATATGTTAAGTATATAGTTGGCTACAATACATCGGTCTACACATATGTTACGTATATAGTTGGCTACAATACATCGGTCTACACATATGTTAAGTATATAGTTGGCTACAATACACATGTCAACACATATGTTAAGTATATAGTTGGCTACAGTACACATGTCAACACATATGTTAAGTATATAGTTGGCTACAATACATCGGTCTACACATATGTTAAGTATATAGTTGGCTACAATACATCGGTCTACACATATGTTAAGTATATAGTTGGCTACAATACATCGGTCTACACATATGTTACGTATATAGTTGGCTACAATACATCGGTCTACACATATGTTAAGTATATAGTTGGCTACAATACATCGGTCTACACATATGTTAAGTATATAGTTGGCTACAATACATCGGTCTACACATATGTTAAGTATATAGTTGGCTACAATACATCGGTCTACACATATGTTAAGTATATAGTTGGTTACATTACACATGTCAACACATATGTTAAGTATATACTGGTATATATAAACTGTCAATGTATATATAGATACATCAGATATGAAGTAGAAGCAAAATAATGTGTTCACATAATTATACACACAGGTTAAATATTTATTCATAACTGCAGAATTTCATCTCTATATTTTAAGGCTTTATAAATGTACATAGCAACATTTTTCAGAATAACCTCGTCTGTGCTTTTGAAAAGCCTTACTAAATGCATTGGATCTGGGTTTGAATGGCAGTACTGTGGCAAGTAAGCCTTTCTTAAGTTCGAAAGGACTGGGCATATAAGGAGGAAGTGCATCTCATCCTCCACAGCTTTCCTATTACAAATATTACACAATCTTGAGTCCCTTGCTATGCCAAGTTTACGCCCTCGTTCAATTTCCAGAGCATGAGTAGAACATCTGAAGTTGGCTAGAACAAATCTGAGATGGATTGGCAAGTTAATTAGTAGATATCTTTCACATACCAGATCATCCTTAATACTACTATAAAATTTACATTTGCCAGGTTTACTTAACTGTGAGTTCCATTCTTGGATATTTACGTCTCTCATTCTCTGTTTAAGTGAAAGTAAAAACATATTTGAATCACCAACCCCCTGATTAAGCCATACATAGCCAAATCCTAGCATATTTAGCATTTCACGCACTTTGGTGCACCAGTTCTTTCTTACATTAGCATCTTGCACCAGTAACATTTTATAACAGAGTTTTGGTAACCTGTTGTCCTCCATACTGAATAATTTCATCAGATATTTGGCCGGTTTACACATATATGATGTATTTAGTTCTAATCTGCCACACTCACCTCTTACCATACAGTTTGTTACTTTCACACCAGTACATAATAGCCATTTACAAAAGTTGTTCTGTACACTTTCAATGTCAGCATTTGGAGAAGTTCCCCAGATTTCTGCACCATAGAATAAGATTGGCGAGATCATAGCATCGAACAGTTTGAAACCTATTTTAACATCTCTTTTGCCTATTTTACACAAACAATGCTTTAACATGTTTAACGCTTTAGTTGCTTGTAGGGCAAGTGATTTGCAGCAGTATGACCAATTCAACTTCGATGAGAAAAATACTCCTATATATTTATAGAAGGTGACATCTTTAAGTTCTGCTCCTTTATATACCCATTTTTCGTGTTTGCATAACTTTCCACCATTTTTAAATACAATAATATTTGATTTGTCTAAGTTCACACTCATATTCCATATTTTACAGTATTTTTCTAGAGTATTTAGTCTTCTTTGTAAGCCTATTACAGAATCAGCCACTAGAGCAAGATCGTCTGCAATTAGTAACAAGAATACATCCTCTATCATTTGGTTCACAAAAATACCACTACCACTTTCCTTCCGAATCAAATCAGCTAGTTCGTTTATGTACATTGAAAAGAGCCAGGGACTGAGCATACAACCTTGTTTTACACCGGAGTTGCATACCACCTCTTTTGACAAATATTCACCGACCTTGACCTTAGCCTTGACCTTCTGATACATGCTCTTAAGAATATTAAGGATAGGACCTTGAAAGTTGTGGCTCTGGAGGACCAATAACAGCTTGGATCTATTCACTAGGTCGAAGGCCTTTCTAAAATCTATGAATGCACAATAGAAAACTCCCCCCTTTTTCGATAAGTATTTCTCGACCAGACTATTTAGACTGAATATATTGTCAATGGTGGAGTAGCCACGCCTAAAACCAGCTTGTTCTTCAGCAACGGTGCCATACGTTTCTGAGCAAGTTTGAAGTATACTATTGATAATAGAAGTGAAAATCTTACTTATGACATTTAGTAAAGATATTCCCCTACAGTTACCTGGATTATCAGGGTCCCCTTTCTTGTAGATGGGTAATATAATACTACTCGACCACCTCTCCGGGAAATAACCTTTGGTTAGTAACTTGTTGAACAGTTTATGTAAAACAGGTAATAAGGCATCTAAAGCAAACTTATAGAATTCTACGGGAATGGCATCCTCCCCAGGGGATTTACCGTTTTTCATTTTACGTAAGGCCACCTTGATTTCGTCTACGGTTATGTCTTCATTTAACAATGAACAGTCAATATTTCTTCTGACAAAGTTTTGTACTTGAAGGCCATCACCTTCTGGTAGTACCTCATCTGACGGACGGTTAAGCAGCTCTTTGAAATAGTTAAACCACTGATCACCACTAATACTGTTTTTGGTAGAGGACCCTTTACGAATCACGTTTTTCGCCAATGACCAGAATCTTGAGGGGTTTCTAGAATCACATGCTTCAGCTAGGTCGTCCTGGAGTTTGTTTTTGTGGGTTTTTTGTTTTTCTTTACAAACATTTTTAAATTCCCGTTTCACAAGAATATAGCTTTGGAGATCCTCTCCTGACCTAGTTTTTCTAAATTTGTTTAGAAGCCTATATTTCTGTATTTTTAGGTCCTCACATGTTTTGTCAAACCATTTCGGATGAGCCCTATATGCTTGTTTAGTAC